CTGCCGACGTCGGCAGTTCGCAGGGAGTATGTTTCCAGCTTAACCTAAAAATAAGATTAAGAATGAACAGATTGAAGCTCTCTTTTATTCCTACAGTCATAGTTTTTTTTATAAACAAGCTGTATATTTGTTACAACCTCTGATATTTATGGCACTTATTGTAACATAAAATCAAACAATTAACCACTTAAGTTGATGTCAGTAGAAACTGAGTTTATTTTACAAAAAATAAAATAAAAAACAAACCAACACAGGGAAGCTTTAAGCTTCAGGGTCTCCAAGGCCAAAATAACAAACAAAACACCCCCTTCTTTATATGAAATAAAATGGCACTATCTAAATGTAAACAAAAAAAAGTACAAGGGCTGAGCTCCCTGGCTGCCCACAAAACAGGAGAAAAGGTCTGGAACAAAAAATGGCAGAGAACCTCTACCAGCTTCCCCTGTGAAGACAAAAACACATTCACTTTTAGAATACTGTATACACTTAATGGTTCACACWGTAATTGTTCATATTATGTTGTAAATTCAACTTCACCACACAGACAAGATCACTGCAGATCAAGGCCCAGAAAAAAAAAGGGGGCTTGACATCTGAGATGAAGCTCTTTATGGAGTGGTAAACGAGCAGCAAAACATTTCACCTGTGGCAGCCAGGTAGACCTGAAACACAGAGGAGAAAGCTCTCTCATTTTTTTTAATTTTTTTATTCTTTTTATTTATCCTTTATTTATACAGGAAGATCTCTTTCTCATTTACAAGAGAGACCTGTTGTCATAAAGAGAGCCCCTAGAGGTCAGTGATCGTAACAGTATTAATGCCCTGACTTAAGGTCGTCATTGAATTGCTGCAGTCCAATTTCCTTTTGTAGCTCATGTTTTAATGTATTATCTAATTTTATTCTTTATTTTTTACATTTGTCCGTGATGCATCTATGTATTTTGTTTTAATAATTGTTGTGTAAAGCTTGTGTGAATGTGTTGGCCGTCACCACTATTTGTTGCAAATGAATTGCACTTTGAGGATTTAACAAAGTGAATTGAGATTCTGACCAAATATTATTGTGATTAACACAATAAATTAAGCCACTCTGGAGTTACTTGTGATATCAGGATGATCCATGTTTCAATATGTAGCTTAAAAAGCCAAATGTGCTTCGGTCATTTGGACCCAATTTGACTTTATGGGTTAGATCTTGGCYTGATGTGATGGGTCACATATAAATCGAATCAGAGCTGCATGATATTTCATAAAATTTACGGTGCAATTTCTTTTCTAACCCTGCGATATATAATTCAATATGAAAAAAAAATACAGGGATTTTCAACAGATGACTTGAATAAAACTTTCTGCTGCCATCTTATTGACGAAGARCCTGCACCAATATTACCTCTTTTTTGTGCTTTTGTTACAGGTCTGTTTATGTCTGTATTTGAGTTATTCTTATCTTATATTGTTTGCTTTTATCGTGCTGGGACCTGAGAACGTTTCCTTCTGTCATGTGCAAACCTGAGTTATGTTTTACCACAAAAGTTGGTATCTCAACAACCGTCTGAAGGACAACCCTACAGGCCTGGATTAAAAGTCAACACTCGATCTGCTGGAGGGAGCTGACGGACAGTAGACAGGCAAAAAAAAAAAAAAAAAAACCCTGATTAACAGTCTAAATCTTAGGTTTGGGAAAACTCTCATCGCCCTGACAAGGAAAACTCTAAGTTGTAGTAGTAGTCTCTTATGCTGCGTTCACACAGAACGCGATTTCAGCTTCAAAATAGCATCCAACACTTCAAGTTGGTCGCTTGTGCACTTTGAGGTCAGACGCAGGTCAGCTCTTGAAGCGCTCGCATGGCAACAGCCTCCCCGCCCCTCCCTCCTCTGTCGGGCTCTGTTTAAAGACGTGTAAAGGTGGAAATGTTTCTCAGCCTCATGCGTCAATAAAGACAGCAGCTTCACACGTGTGCGTGCCCACACACACACACACACACACACACACACACACACACACACACACACACACACACACACACC